ATTGTGCTCAGGCCCTTAGTTCCTCATTTCTCTAATCTTCCGCGAAATACGCTCAATGTGAATGCGGGCTTTCAGAATGGCGTATTCTAGTAAATAAAAAATAACGTATTCTAGTAAATTACTAGAATACGCAGGTTATGCTTACGCAGGTTACGCCACATGTGACGGCACCCTCAGAAGGTGATTGGTTACTTCATCGCTTCCTATCCTATCACGTTTTGCGATCAAGGATTCTGAATGCCCTTCTCTATCTCATCTTGTATATCGCTTGATATATGTCGTTCGCGTATACACTTGTGTATGTGTTAACTTAAATTCGTGTTTGTGTATATACTACACCGTGCATCGGTGTACACATATATAGGCATAGTGGAGCCCCAGAGAAATTCTTGTGTTTATTAATAATTTCTCTCGACATTGTATAAAATAGTGCCAGAAACGGTTTAGAATTGGCATAATTAGAGATCGTTAATCAGAATCTTTCGTGTTTCTGTTTTTTTGTTCTGACGGTTATTTCAGACGATTGCAACTTGGAACTTAATTGTGGCGGCTCTTTGCAAAATGCACAAAAAGTGGGCAGAGATATATTCTTAAAGAAAAAGAGTCTGGTTTCTTGACTTAGTTAATTATTGCGAAAAGTACAAGACAAAATTTATCTCACATTGTAACTGTTAAAATGGCTGCATCCTTGTCAGGTGAGTTATAAATTTGTTTTATAACGATCTTTCAAATTTACAATTTTAAAATTATTAATTTATAACGGTTGAAAAATGCGTAAACAGTAAATAATGCCATCTCCTATTCGTACTAAATGATCTTGTAATTTAAAAGTTACATTTATGACACATTTTGTTTGTAAATTTGAGTACTTAAAGTAACTTTTACAGGCTTTACATTTACTTTTACTTCTTTAACATATAATTGTATATCAATTTTTTATAGCTTATTGGGTGAAGTTTTTCAAAGGGGCTGGATTTTCTCAAGATGTGGCCACTAAGCATGCAGTTGTGTTCTCAAACAATCGTATCAAACCAGATATGTTGCCAGATTTGGATAAACCTAGTCTCAAAGAAATGGGCATCACGTTAATGGGCGATATGATTGCTATTTTGAGATATGCCAAGAAAGTAGTGGAAGAAACAACCTGCGAGAGATTTTTAGTTGATTCAGAAGACACACTTCCAACTCCAAAGGTTTCTATATCAAAACCTATTATGAAAAAAGGAAGCAAGGAAATCGGAAATAAGACTATGGTTTTAGCAGCATCTAAAACAGACTCTACAAAGAAGATAGTTAAATCTTTGTCTGCAACAAAAAAGATTTTGACTATAAGAAAGCCAATTTCTATCCCAGCTACCACTAATGCTATTAACCAAAAGCCGATATCTGTCAAAAGAAAATTGGCATCAGAAGAAGTATATCAAGACAATGATGAAGATAATTGGAATATCTCAGAAAAGAAAGTAAAAACGACAAATGGTAATGAAGATAATACTGAATACACTGTCGCGACACCGAAGGCAACAACAGTAAGAACTCAGATACTTAAAAAACCTGTTGAACAAAAACGAACAGTATTTGATAGATTAGGCGATAGCTCGGTCACGAGCACAACTAATTTAGTTGACACGACGCCTACTTTCAATATTACTGGAGTTAGTAAAGAAGTATTTAAGAGATCTACAAGTGTTTTTAAGCGTCTCGGTGACATAGACGATAAGAAAGATCAGACAACTACCATAGGAATACTTAAGAATGGATCAAGCATTACTAGTATGCCAGGCATACTGAAAAACCGAACATCACCTAGCGTACGCACGTCAATTATAACGACAAAGAGAGTCGTGCCTAAAATTACTGGCACTATGCATGCCGATCACGAAGTTAACAAGAAGATTACTTTGAATAATACAAGTTGTATACTGAAGATGAAAAAGGAAGTACCTAATGTTAAATCGAGCATTGAAGGTATTTCAAAAAAAATATCTACAGTCACATCTGGCAAGTTAGGTTTGTATATGTTATATAAAGTTTACTAGTATATAAGTAATTGTGCAAAAGAGAATGGTTTTTCTTGATTTTATATTGCAGCTTCGGAACGACTTGTCTCAATACCAGCCAAAGCACGCTTGGGCACAACCACTGCCAAACAAGTGACTTTTAGTAAAGTGGCAACAGTGACGCATGTCAAAAGAGCGGATGTTTTCAGTCGCTTGGGCATTTAAGTTTGACTTGATCCCCCTTATCAATCGTAAACAAGCAGTGATTTGCAATCGAACTGTTATTTGTATAAAGTTAGAGTTTTTTGAACCAACTGCATTAATAATTGATTAATGCTAATCAAATGATTGATTGGACTTTCTTTTTATTACGAATGGGTATATCCAGAGAGTGTTTTCCAATTGTAAAATCACTAGACACTTTCGTGCACACGATGACAAATTACGTTCCAATTGATGTAATCATCAATACAACATCCGTACTCAGCCAGAGGGCTACTAGTCTCTGTTGTGTAAGCTTGTGTTTTCTTATAACCATTACATCTTATTAATTGCGGCAGCCATAAATAAGATTGGAAGACATTGAGTGATTGGCATTTTTGCTTTTTTTTTTCATTCAATGAAGGCAGTAAAAGGTAAATTTAATCTAATTCTATTTGAAACATACTGAAACTGTATTCAGCGTACACAATCTGTTCTAATTGATTTGTACACTTTGTGCATTACTGTGTATATTAGTGTTAAGATGTGTTAAGCAATTGAAAAGCACCCAGAGGAGTGGCTTGCAAGGCTATTGCAAATGACGTATAGAATGTAAATATAAGAGACTTACGATTAGATTTATAATTTAGTGACGCCATGAATTGCTCGGTCATAAAGAACGCAAATTGTATACTATAATCTGCAGTGCAATGTATTTTTTATTTAGGAATTTCTAAAAGATTATTCAAACTTCTACTTTTTTTCTTTTTTTTTATTTAAGACATTTTAAGAGACGATTCAATTTTTGTACAAAAATGAAATAACTAGAATTATATCCTATAAGATACAACTATATTTTAAACTTGGATTTATGTGTAACCTTTTTGACTTTAAGGGAAAAAAAGAAAGTTTTATGGAGTATTGTTTTTCCTATACTATATTGCTTTCTATGTTTTCATAATACTCCGAGATAACGATATATACAAATACCAATGTATGGACGGGCAATTAGATTTGCTATATTTTGAGAAACGACTTGTTATATTTTTAACTGTATTTCCTATAACTTAATTCAACATCTTTGTTCTTCCTGCATACAATAACCATTTATAATACATAAATGTTGCTATGAAAAAAGAATAATTTGCCAAAAGTGTCCTATAATATTCTATTATCAACGTTTATTGATATTTTAAGTAATTGATAAGTATGACTTGTGATAATAACAGATTGATGTAATTATATAAGTGTTTTGTATAACTGGGCCATTGTCATATAATATTAATTTGTTGCTACTTGATATTTCGCAAGTGAATATTGAAAAATTTATTTTTATAAGATTTTTGATGATAAATCTAAACAAAGTTAGAGAGAGGACGAGTGCTCACGAAATATTAACAAAAACGCTTGTTGTTTGATATATCAACAAAAAGATATTCATTAACAAACATTTGGATCTTTTATTATTATTAAAATTTTAAGATCTAAGGAGAGAATTAGTGTACTTTTCAGTAAATATCTATATGGAAGGAATAATCTCTTTATAATCTTTATTATAAAAAGCTCAACATTAATGATTAGTATATTTTTATAATTTTCATATTCATTTCCATAAAAAATTTGTCAAGAAAGCCCCAATATAAATATACGCGAAAATATATTTCTTTTTTTTAAAGTGTTTATTTTTATCAATATATGTATATAGAATAACTTACTTAATCTCTGTTTAATTTACTCCTTATCTTTCTCTAATTAGAACTAGAAAAAAGTAAAAAGTAAATTAAACTAAGATTAGTTAATCTTGGTGGAAATGAATATTATATTGGTTTTACACACACACACACATCACACACACACACACACACACACACACACACACACACACACACACACACACACACACACATTGGTAGAAATGAATATTAATGAGACGAATGCTTTATATCAAGTAATCTTTATTTTTTAAATTTATCATTCATAGAATAATTTTTTTTTCTATTTACATGCATGTGAAAAGAAAAAAAAAAGAAGAAATGGGAAATTTTAAGTCTTTCCTGTGTTAAGTCCTATTCTTTTGCTAAACTATCTAACATCTCGTGTACATTTGGACTCATTCGCGGTTCGTACTCATGACTATTGCACTCATCGAATCAAATTCGTAGTCCATTTGCATTCGTTCGCGCTCGTTCACTTGGCTTCAAACTTATCTTTTAATAGCACCTCATTGGTGGATATATAATTTCTTGTCAGTGCATGATATGTACAGAATAAATAATGTCTCTCTTGTCAACATAAAGGGTTCATTCCGCAGCAGTCAGCCCTAAGTGAATTTTAATGATCGTCAAATAAGTCTCCATCAAATAGAATGGACCTGAGAATAAGACTATAAAAATCCTATCGATTCCCAAGGAGAACAAGAAAATCCAAATAATGTCAATTTGATGTCAAGAATGATTTTATATATAAAGTTATTCTTAGATCATGAGATAGAAATTTTTATCATGACCAAAAAATGACATAAATTCGTCAATATGACGTCAAATTGACATTATTTGGATTTTCTTGTTCTCCTTGATTTGGTTGATATGATTTGAGTTAACAATTTTATATATATAATCAATTATAATATATTACCACAATTATTCATTCATTATTAAATGTTGTGTAAATAAGCATACACATTGCAAATAGCATCTTTTTCTATCGATTATTAGTCGATGTTTGATCGATTTGAATGACGGAACGCGGATGATAACAATAGAGGTGCAATTTTATAAATAAAAATAGAATATTATTACCGGATCTATCGGGTTCGCTTGATAATCAAAAATTTTCTCAGAATTGGACTCATTAATAAATACTTTATCAGTCTGTTCCAACTTTTGGTACTGTTCCAAGTAGTCCAAATCGAGCAAGAGCGAACGCGAACAAGCACGAATGAAGAATTACGAACGAACTCTACGAGTGCGACTGATATTGCGAGTACAAACGAACCCAAATGAATATCGACGTATACGTTCCGTTTTTCTTGTCGATATGTTTATCAAAGGAAAAGCATTCGGTGAGGTGCTAAAGAACTTATTGTTACCTATTATTAGTGGTAAAGTGTTTGTCTGTCAAGTGGAAGACACGGATACGATTCCCTAATACCACAACGGGATCTTTTTGAAAGGAAACAATAATAAATGCATAATTATCCAAAAACGAATCCAATGTAATTTAGTAATATATTGTGTGATACTGTGTTATCAAATCTCGTCATAAACCATGATACTTTATCCCAATAGGACGGAAATCTATAGTAGAAAGGAGAAAAGCACTTGTTTGTGATCGTTCATGTTTGATCAGTCTGAATGGGTTAACACATTTTCTCAGTCGTAAGATTCGTCAGATTCGACCTTCATTGAAGTCTTACTCCGTTTTATATATTAAATAGACATAATACAAATATATATTATATATATATAT